TCTAAATATCATGATTTCTCAATCAGTAGTAAATTCATTTCGTTCATTCTGTTCGCACATTTGCTATACAGTTGGAAGAGCTGCAAAAATTTGCATCAAAATCGCCGTTCGCCATAAGAAGTCCATCCAGAAAGACTCCCATCGCGTCGAATTTGATACATTGTGTCAAGGCTAATCTTTTAGCTTTAAATTTCTAGCCTTTTGTAGTGCCATGTAAACTTTAATAGTACCTTCTATGTTTATACCTTCAATAACAGATGCTCAACATTTTTTCTTCCTCCAGATTTTCTGAACCTCGCTTGATTTTCGAGGTAGTCTATTAAAAAGATCAAAAGGATGACCTACTCTTGCATTTTCCTCTCGACTCTGTCCTAAGTACTAAGTTCAGGTTAAATTGTTTTTGATTTTCTTGTTGCAAATAATTGCATTTTATAGTCATTGATTTAATAGCGCCAGTGGTGCATGTGAAAAATTTGGACTAATCTTCTCGCAATCGTTTAATCTTACAATCGCTAAGGTTTTGAGATAAATACAATTCTAGGATTTTGGAGGAAAGCACCTCGTGATAAGAAATAAAAGTAAAGGGGCATACGATTTTTATCTCATAAATTCACTTCCATTTTATGGACGTTTTAGCAGTATCTTTTGATTCAGCTAACGAATGATGAAGTGCTACAACTAAATCTCTTTTCCTGTACAACACCGAAATACATTACAGCTAATGAGAAAGAGCAGTATGCCATTATTGTTTTCTCCGAATTTGAAGATGTTGGCGTTGTCACGAGTGGAATTTCTAGTGTAAATAATTTCGCAATATTTTCTTTCTTAGCTTTTTTATCAAAAGTTCAACTGATCTTTCGCCATTTTATCTAATCGCTATTGGTTCTAACCGTATGACAATTTGTAACTTTATGACTTATCTAGGTCAAAAACCGAGACTTTTTTGCCGAACTCAAGCAACGGCAGTCCTTCTTCCTTGTAAGAACACATGGAGGACAAGTGGCTTTTGATAAAGGCAATACCGCGCAGATCAACTTTGCTCGGTATCCTCGATAAGTACCGCCTGTTCTCTGTACATAATATCACAAAAATTGAAGATTTCTATGATAAAATAGGGTGAAGGTTTTCTTATAACTATGTTTGAAACTTGTTCTTTTTCATGCCGTTACAGGTTGTTGGC